TGCAAAACGCGCGCTTACAGGTGGTCCGAGCCAACAACAACAGCAGCAGCAACAACAACAGCAAGGAAAGGAGCAGGAGCAGCAGCAGCAGATTCAAGGTGTCAGCCTTTCACACACGCATACATTTTCTTGCTGTCTGCTTTGGGAACTCGACACAGGCATCAAATATTCATAAGGGATGGATGGCAAAGGCAATCGTGGCTATGCCAGTTAATTGGGTCACATACTGGTGAGAGGAATAACAATAGTCGCTTGGGATGTTGATGCTGGCGACGGCCAGAGCATGCTGATGATGATGGTGATGTTGATTGTTGCGATGATGATGGCGATGATGATGGATGTTGTTGTTTTCGCTATTGATGTTGATGATGCTGGCGACAGCGACGATCATGTTGACGATGGCAATGGAGATGATGTTAGGGTCATTCGCACTAGGCCACGATGGAAGCGATGCATGCGATTAGCTTGGTGATTCTGATGTTCATGATGATGATGATGATGATGATGACGATGACTATGACGATGGTGATGATGACGATTATGATGTTGATGATGATGATGGTGATGATGATGGCGGCTGTCACGGCAATGCGAAAGACGAGCCAGGCGGTGTCGAGACAGCTGGTGATGATAACGGTGACGATGGCCATGATGTGATGATGGTGGTGACTCACGATGTGCATTGAATGCTACGTCGGTGGACATCATCGTGAGGATGCTGCTGGGAATGCTGATGACGACGACGACGATTGCAATGACGAGAATCGCGGTTCGCGGTCACCGGTCTTTCCTTTTCCTGCCTTCATCACAGGTGTTGCGCTTGCCGCCTTTGTTCGTTCATTCCAATGTAGTATCTCACGGCCGTCGTGCCTGCCTGACTTGGCAGGACTTCCTGACCTCGAGCCTTTGGGTCGAAAGCAAGGCTCTCCGACAAGGATCAGAGGGCCTAATCCTCAAACCCTATACCTTAAACCCCTAAACCACTAAACCCTCGGAGTCTAGGTGGCTCAGGGTCCGAGCTCCTGTGTCTTTGGCTCCGAGCTCCCATGGGATCTGCTTCAGGGCTGCCAACAGCAATATTTACAATAATGACACATGGTTAACATAGAGGTACCTATTCATTAGTACTTTTACGGGCCCTAAAACTACAACCCAGAATAGGAATGAACATAATACGTATTATTGGTTATCATTACTATTCATATTGCTGGACTCGATGTACGTGGGATGCCGCGAGGAGCTCGTTTTAGACCCAATTGGGGCTCGTCAAGTATCGACGATCAGTGATGGTAGTGAACGGTATGAAAAGCTCTGGTATCGACTAGCACAACAGCGGGGGAGCGCAATATAGCGTAACATCTGATGTAATCTACTATAACATTCAGGAATACATACATATATATATATAGATGTATACATACATAAATAAATAAATAAATATATATATATATATACCTATACATATATTATAAATACATAAGCACATATATATATATATATTTTAATAACAGTTTATTACTTTTCAAGACCTATGCTGTGTCCTGACCTCCTAACTGAGTGCTTAAAGCCGTGTTTCTTCACACCCCGAAGCTCACTAGAACTTCCGAGCTCAATGCTCAAACCGTCTTAGAAGATGGAATGTTGAATACTGTAGTCGATGATACTATTAGCACCAAACCTTATAACAGATGATATTATATCTTATCTTATGGTATATCGTAAGCGCCCAAATCATGAGGCACTACAGGAGCCTCTGCTGAGCCCAGAGCAGCAACGCTGGCGCAAGAACTGGGGATACCGAGAAAGAACATACCAGGCGCGGCTGCGCATGGGTTTACGGTTTAGGGTACCAGTAGTATGCAGGGGCCGAAGTAGCTAGAGCAACATCACAGGATGAAGGCAACATAAGGATTCCGCAGGAATAGCGCGGCTCGTTTGAATTGCCTCCCATGCAGTACTGGATTAAGCAAACTCAGTAGAAGTGGTCCGTTCTACCACCACAGTTGCCACTCTTTTTCGTATTCTGAGATTTTCGTAACATTTGTGCTTTCGATTGTCGACGGCTTTATCACAACTGAGCAGAATACGTAAGTCCTTTAGGCGTAACGGGCAATGGTACGGGCAGGAAAGTCATAAGGCAGATGATATCGGGAAGCAGGTATAGCAAACATGGCACCAGTCGTCACTGCAAAAGTCATACCATGTCATACCTCTTGCAGAATTGTGATGTCAGCGAGCAGAACGGAAAAGCGTTCCGTACATCCTAAACCCTCAACCCTATACTCTCAACTTGCCTCTTCGTGGATTGACTGCAGCTTAAATTCCCCCCTGGGGTAGTTCTCTAAATTAGGGTCCCTAAGCTAGGTCCCCAATATAGTACGGCACCCTTATAAAAAGGACACTAAAAGGGACCCTCATTCAGAGAATTCCCCAGAAAGAACGCTCAAAGTGCCCTTATAGAAACCGCTATAGAAACCTTTATAGACCCCTTGACAGGGACCTTCATTTGGAGAACTCCCCTCATGTCGAGGCAGTTTCGTCGGCCGTTAGGCTGAGGTGGCGCATTGCGCTTAAGGTCTCCCTGCCCGTGCCTCATACTTCTCTAGTGGTGGGAACTCTGGGTATCGGGAAGGGATTGTTATTCGGGTCTAGGGTTTAGGGGTTAGAGTTTGCTCGGCACTCTGCCCACAGTCAAGTGCAGAAGTCGGTGGCCTCGGAAGCCGCCATTGTCATGTACATGTTGGCCCTTGGATCCCCCTTCGAGGTCCTACTTTCTCGCATTGCTCCTGGACTTGCACTACGGCCTGGACAGCCGGGATCGCAGTATCCCAGTGTCCACAGAACGTAGAAGGAACTCGGCATGCCAGTAGTTCGCTCTGTATGCGACGGTATGTTGCCGAGCATATAAGTCACAAACACTCTGGCTCAGTCAAACATCTCTGCGAAAATGATTCCTGACAGCGTCAGCCGAATTTGCGGCATGCAACACGACGTGAGGCGCGCTGGTTTGTACCGTGAGCTACTTGTCCAGCTACGGTTCCCAGTACGCAGGGCCCTCCCTGCCTGTTAAAGCTGTGTCGTAACTGCAGTACAGGGCAATGTGATCTCAAGAGCAACCCAACAGAAGCAGGAGTTTTGACAACGGTGCAGAAGTCTCCCTGACCCCGTCTGCCAGGGGCTCCTTGCGCCGTGCCATCTCGCGTGGCGTCGGGGTCGCTGCAGGGGCGACGGTGCGGACCAAAGAATGCCACTGCTTCTTGATCATAGACAACTTGAACCGAGATGAGAGCAGTGTTTGTTGTGCGTGGCACAATGCTGATGGCGAGTGCGAGAACGATGATGAGGATGATGACCTTCACGGTGACCACAATGTTGGCCTTGTCATTGGTATTTCTCCTTGCTGAGTCAGACTGCCCTTGTTCGCTTGGCTGCCACCATCAGCGTGTCTCCGTGTTGATAATGACTTGCATTGTTGCTGGCCTTGGCTTGACTGCACTGTCGCCTGGGTTCTTGTGTATAATGTTGTTTGCTGAAAACTGCTTTAGGCTACTACTGCAAATCATTATTGCTTGAGGGCTTTACTGATACTTTCATTCAGATGGTACTGTTGGAAGTGGCACTGTGTAATTACCACTGTTGCTATGCGTAAGACAAGAGATGCAACGATGGCAAGCACTATCGTAGCTTGGAAGACAGCGCCAAAGCTATAAATCATCAAATCTCTCGGTCAGAGCAACAGAGGCTTTGAGTCTTGATGCCTCTATTTAGATTACTATTACTGTTAGCACTGCTACTACTGTTGCTATGATTATTTCATTTATGATTTCTCTCTTGTTGGCCCCCAAGGGGCTCCACGTGCTTGGCAGGTGGGAAGTGTTCTGCAGCACCTGTCCATCTCTGTCGCTGTCTCCAAGCTCCGTGGTTGCACAGGGTGGGGTTTGAGCTCATTAGTGTCGTAGTGCCCTAAACCCTAAACTTTCTAAACCCTAAGCCCTAGTACCCTGAACCCTAAACCCAAAACCGAGTAGGGTTGCTTCAGGGCCAGTCCCGGGGGTGGGGTAGCTGTAAGCAGGGCTTCGGCCTCGGGCTACTAGGGTTTTGGTCTCAGGATATGTCAGGATATGTATACGGATATTATCTCTATATATATATATATACAGATATGTATATGTATATGCATATGCATATGGATATGGATATGTATATGTATATGTATATAAGTATGTATATATACAATACATACATGTATGCATGCATACATACATACATCACACACGGCGCATCAGGCTCACGCAGCTCTGGCTCCTCGCCCCGCTGGCGATTCACCTCCTTGTGCCTCTTCAGTCTGTGTTTGGACGAGGATGGGAAGGTTTGCAGGTTTCGGCGGTCTATGGTTTGCTATGGCCGTTCCTCATATCCTATCACGAGTTGGAGTGTGAGACTACGCGAATACCAAGATACACTGTCAGCTTCAAGGTGTCCCGTGGTGCTTAAATGTTCCATGATAGGGAGCGTTAGACTAGACAGCCCTAAACACAAAGCTCCAAGCCTTCACACGATCCAGAGCCCTACACCTCATCCTTTCATTTCGTCCCTCAGCAGTTTGCTTGCTCTTGGAGAAGCGCCCCACCTTACGAAACTCCAGGTGACTCTTTGCTTTATTGGGTCCTGGACCTTCTGCTGCATGCTAGCCGCTCGGAGCTCGCTTAGAGCCTGAGTTGAGTTCTATCAGAGGTTTAGGCCTGCTTCCGCGACTGCCCTTGCCCACATCCGAGGTCTACTTTCGAAAAGGTCCCTACGCCTATGTGCCCTGTCCGAGCTCAGAAGATCAATGGCCTCAAACGGTGGGATGAAGGTAGGTAGGTAACAAAGGGGGCTAAATCATTACCAACATTATTCCGTCGGGGTCCTTGGTGTAACTATACTATTTCGAATCATTGAGGCCCCTGTATTGGGTGTACGGCTTGTACGTTTCAGGATCTCTTACATAAGGAGAGGATATGAGAGGATGGTGCCGCGAAGTTCGTCAAACGCATCACGACAACCCTGAAACGCTGCCAAGTTTTTGCTCCGAAGCTCCGATCCTGACTCCCGACAGATCTTCGGACGATCTTGGCTTTTGGACCCTTGCAGGGTAAACAGGCAACCCCCAAACCCCTAAAACCCAAACCCCAAAACCCCAAAACCCTAGACCCTAAACCCTGAACCCTGAACCCTTATAAACCATAAGCCGCAAACAGGAAGCCCAGAAAGAGCCACAAGGGTTCCGCTTCCAAGGTCGGCTTCGTCGCCGCCTTTACAGCCATCAAGTTCCTCTCTTGCCTGCCTGGTGAAAGCCTGCAGCTGACTGCGAACCTGGTCGTGCAGACATATCCTAAATCCCACAAGCAGTTTAGGGCTTAGGGTTCAAGCTCATAGGGTTTAGGGTTCAGAGCTTCTCACGGCGTTTGGGGCTTTCGGCTTCTCCGTCACAGGCACAGGGGAGCCGATCCCAACATCGATCGAACAGACAGAGGCTTCTATGAGTAGAGAGGCAAGACTTAGATGGTTATGTTTGTAGCACTAGCAGGTAGAGTGAGGGAGGTTGAGGGCGCCTTTCTAGCACGCCCCAGCTGTCCAAGGACGGTCGCGTCCACCATGTATGCTTGCATCTTTCCTGCAGTGGATCTGAGTTTTGGGTATCGGGCAATGGCAGGCTTTGGAGTTCCAGGACGCAAATATAGAGGACGAGGATCAGGGCATTTTCGCCGGAATGGTACACTTCTTGTACGTAGAGTGTCACCTGCCGAATTCACTGCAGGTGAGGCCCAGGACTCAGCAGAAGCCACGGCATAGGGAAGCGTGGCCGTAGCTTTTGAATGGAAGCATGAAGTATGAAGCAACTGGGTACAAAGTTGTACATAGTCTCATGCAGAGCCCAACAGCATCAACGTGTCAAACGCTCCGCCTAGAGGGGGATAATATGGGGGCCTTACTTGCAGTACTTAGAAGAGGGTTTTGGCGGTATGGTAGAGGGGTAGTTCTCTAAATTCGGGTCCCTTTGGGGTCCCCAAAATGGTACGGCACCCTTGTAAAAGAAACTATATGTTTCAGAAACTGTAAAGGGATCGATGGGCCCTGCCCAGGCCTGTTGGCCGTGGTGGTGGAGACGTTGGGCTCCCAAGTTCCACCGGCAGAGGACACCTGCAGTGCAGGAAAGATGAGGCTGTGTGTCGAAGCCGTAGTCCATTATTCTCGAACAGAGACCCTCAACGACTTCGGCCTAATCAAAATCAGACTGGGTCGTGATCTTGAGGTGCGTCCTGCCCATAGATGCTCGTGACTTGATGTGGCGACCTTACCAGCCATAGCATGCTGCTGTTCTTGCACTTGGTCTTAAGATAGAGTCACGAGAGCCTCAGGCAGGCGCGTGTCGCCTCCAGCCTCGTGGGACGCTCTGCCAGCAAAAGCAGTAGGCCAAGAAGAGGCATGAGCCAGGAAGCAATCTCATTGTGAGGTTTAAGTGAGCACGTATGAGCAGCATCACCCTAAAGCTTCCATACGAGTGTACCCTAAACCCTAAACCTTTCCTCGGAGCACTATTCTGATCAAGGAGTGGGTGTGGTGTTGCCGGCCCTGGTGACGGCCGATGAGGAAAGCCTAATGATTAGGGTTTAGGGCTTTAGGGTTTAGGGATGTTGCTGCAGACGGTCGTATGTCTCTGGGTTCTCTGGATGTAGGGTTTGGGGTGTCACGCCGAGCCTCTGAAAACAAATTCTATGTTGGGCCATTGGCGTCTGTGAACAATCACAAGCTTCCTTTCACCCAAACTTCGACCTTTCAGGCTTTAGTAAACTTTAGGGCTGGTGAGGTGGGTCTACAGCTTCTGCCTGGGCTTTGGATGTGGGGACTTCTGCTCTGCGAGGGGGCGGGGTCCCTCAGTTTCATCTCATGGAGAATTGAGGGATTCCTTGTGCAAACATGGGCGCCACTTACGTGACCCAACGGCTCCACTACAGTCTGCGTCCAGAAACGGTGCCAATCACTGTCGGATGTCCTTCCTAGAAAACGGTGTTTATGGTTCAGGACTAGGGTTACAAGTAGTAGGGCCTTCACACCGATGACCAAGCTGGAAAAAACTGAGTTGCACACAATCTTGAGGGAAGCTTTTGGGCTATTCGTGCATGGCTTGCGGGGTTTACCCATATCAGTGCCCTGAACAGAAGTCCTCATAGAAGTCTCCACAGCTGTATTACGAACAACTTCACTAATTACAATAAGTAGTTATGTCTACCAGTAGTCCTCGTAGCAAAGAAGAAGACTACTTTCAGTGACAATCATTTAAGGACGCCGGATGTCAACCGCAACAATCTCCTAAACCCTGAGCTGCAAAAGAAACACCGAAGAGGCGCGAACCACCTTGGTGAAGCAGACCATCGACAACGAAGGCTTGCCAGACCTCACGGAGCGCTTAAAGGAAGTGGGGGCCTACGAGCGGTGGCTTTGAGGCACAGCTTTTAGGGCCTTTTAGGGTTTAGGGTTTGGGCTTTGGGGTTTAGGGTATTTTGGATGAAACAGCTACTGTCAGGTCACTTTGACAGGGCACTGTATTGCAATATGACATAATCCGCTCCCGGTCTAAGTGATTGGAGAAGTTCGAGCCCCAACCCTAAACCCTGGTTGGCCATCTCATAGCCCCCTGTTCGCTCAGTCCGCTCAGGTACTTGGAATGGCGGGAGGGTTGCTTGGATTGGCCTGGGAGCAGGTAAGAGCAAAGAAGCTGGACTGGCTGCTAGATGCTTGACACAGACACGACATGCCATCCTTGACGCAGCCGAACCCAAATCCAAGGCTACATGCGCTGGAGACAAGGTCTGCATTCTGGCGCCAAGGGCGAGGCCGCATGTCGGAGAGCCTGAAAATGTTGAGGGAGCAATCGTCTTCCCGGTGTATTTTGCGCACGTCCTCCTGTTGCGGTGTAGACTGCTGATCAGTTTTTGGAAAGCCAATCAAAAAGGTAGGGTGCGCGACAATGCAGGCTGCTCTGCACGAGGGGCTTAGGACAGCTCCATGATCATCCCAAGCGGCGCTCGTGCGAACCCGTCAGACCGATCTACATCACATAAAGAAGCAAGAAGGTGCCCATTTGTCACGATGGTCCTACTCTAGCCGTTGCATCTATTGCTTCTGCTGCATTCAGCACGCATGAGTGACTTCGCTTCCTGCCAGAACACGAGCAGGTCACCAAGAAGATCGAGGTTGCAACGCCCACTTCTGCACCCAGACACTTGGCACTTGTTCCTTTCTCATGCGGGCCTGCGGGCTGTGATGTTCCAGGGCTACTGTCTCGCTGCTGTTAATGCTGTTATTCCGCGAAGCAGGAGGGCTTCTCAAGCGGATCTGAGTCGTGAAGACAAGCATAGTACACGCACTGTCATTATACCGTCATGTTACATGTTGGAGACCAGCGGACTCAATCACCATGCAGTTAAGAACGGGTGGTGACCTCCTTCCGCCCGCGGGACCAGCCGGCTCTGCCATCAGACCTGCACCCTCGTCCGCAAGTGGGCATGCGTTTTAAGGAACCCTGCAGAATTCTGACGATGGAAGCTTGAACGATCAACTCAGAATGAACCCCGCGTCCTACAGTAAAAGGAGTGTGTTAGCTGTGGTCGCGACATGTCGGGACGACCGAGGCACCCCTCCGCCGTCGATCTCACGGCGTCGATCAATAGCCAAGTTGACGGCATCCAACTGACTGTGGAGCCGAGCGCACGGGATCTGCAGAACGTGGAGAATGTGCAGAATGTGCATGTCAGGGCTGTGGCAGAGACCCGGCTTGCGTTACAAACCTCGTCCTTTCTGCTAGGGAAGCTAGGGTGACAGAACAGTACTAAGCGTAGCAGCGGCTCGGACAGCAAGACTAACAAGTGTCAGTGTCAGTTTGATTTTCAGAGCCATCGCCATCAAATCGCAATGATTATCACCGTCGCCAAACCCTCGTCGTCGTCAGCATGATCATCATCGTCAGAATCGTCAGAATCGTCAGAATCATCATCATCAACAACATCAACATCATCATCATCTTCACCATCATCGCCATCATCACCATCATCGCCATCATCACCATCATCACCATCACCATCTTCACCAGCATCATCACTTCATCATCGTGATCGTCACCATCATCATCATCATCGTCATCACCACCACTGCGACCACCGCGACCAAGGTTCTCTGCGGGCTTAGCACCCTAAACCCTCGACCCCAAAGCCCCTGCCGTCTTGAACGCCTCATCCTAATATCCCAAATCTCTTGTAGAACTCCTTGTAGCTAGCTTGCAGAACCGTGATACAAGCCTGCAGCGGCTACCCTGAAAGGGAACCGAACAGGATCTTGAAAGCAACAAATACCCTAATCCCTTAACCATAAATCCGGAAACATGCATCAAAGTCTTCATCAGCCCTAAGCCCCAAGCCCTGCAAGCCCTAATTATCAGCCCGAAGCCCTAAACCCTAAGCCATCAAGAAGGGAGCCTAAACCCCAAGCCTGCTGCAGAAGCAAAATGAGTCCCATTAACAGTGGAAGGCCTTACAAAGAAGGCCTTATAAATTACCTATAAAGCCTTAAAAGCTCAGGAGATGCCGGGCTTGGCCGAGTTGCTCGCCAAAGCGAAGGGCGACGACGATGCCTCGCGCGAGCAGCGAGAGCGTGCCTGGGTTGTATAGGGTTTAGGCCTCAGAATTTAGGGTCTAGGGCTTAAGGGTTATATAGGGGCCTTAAATCATCAACCTATGATTTCGGGGTATGTTATCATCTCCTATTGGGACTTTAAGGGGATAGTGTGCCTGGTTTGCGGGCATCGTTTGGTGTAGGATTTGGGGTTTCCGGGCTATGGAGTTCGTGATATCTGCCTTAATCGCGGTGTAGAGATGTGGTGGAGCATGAACAAGGCGTTCCGGCGACAAATCTCGACAGGAGTAGTACTCAGTGTAACTACACGAAAGCCCGGCGAATAGCTCTGCGGTGGGAACCACGAGGGGAACAAACCCTACATCCTAAACCCGAAGCCCTTTCATTCCGAAGACAGGTCCGGAATGTCGTAAACGGAAACCCAAAACTCTCCGGATCCTGCAGCCTTCAGCCCCAAAGCCTAGACCCCGACAGCGCTATACTGCAAAACTCTACAAAAAAGCCCCCCCCCCCCCCCNNNAAGACCCCAAAACCCCTAAACCCTACGACCCCTAAACCCTGAAGCCTATGAGCCGTTGACAGAGGCGAGGAGGCAGATCTCGAAGATGGCTTGCCATTACCGAGACGATTGCCCTCCAGCTTCTGAGTTGCAAAGATAGGGCTTCAGGGCAATGTAGGGGCCTTAATATCTAAAAGAGAGTTTTGGGGTATATTATATTATATTATACTATATTATATTATATTATATTATATTACATTACATTACATTATATTATATTATATTATATTATATTATATTATATTATATTATATTATATTATATTATATTATATTATATTATATTATATTATATTATATTATACTATATTATACTATATTATATTATATT